CCACTAGCAGAGTAAACAATGGAAATAAACTACGACAATTGTTATATAAATATTCAGTGTATTATTCAATATTTCGTTTTATAGCAAAAACCCATATAAAAACGCAAGTGTACGTTTTGGATCTTTCTAGAATCAACATTATGTAACAAACACTGGTTTATTATAATGAATAAAAAACATGTATTTTTGATACTAGCTTTATGTTTTTAAAATGGTAATTCAGACGTTTTGGTCAAGACGTTTTTTATTAATCCCCCTAGCTGCAAATTTAATATATTTAACTGGTATATTAGTATAGGTAATAACATATTTTCTAAATACCACGCGTGATATTTCAAAATTGTCAAACAAMATWTGTGACAAATTTTGAAATATCACAAGTGGTGTTTATCCCAAATTCCACGTACAAAACATGATATTATTTGTTTATAAAATGGTTGAATAAAATTGTGCAATTTGAAATACCATTATTTTAATAAAAGGATAAATATCACTCCTCTAAGTCAATCAAATTGCACAATTTTATTCAACCATCAGTATTATAAACGACGAAACGCATATAAAATTATTRGAATCACAGCTAACAGACAGGTGCTCATTACAATACAGTTATGCAAGGCAGTTGTTTGTTGTGCCAAAAATAGTTTCTAATTCCCAGGGATTCCAAGACTCAGTAGGCAAAAAGCGACATTAACACCATTTCGTACCAAGCCTGAATAATACATTAAGTATAGTTATTGGAGCTTACTTGTACGATTAATTGAAGAAACGTAGTCGGGTTCCAAAAGGCTACATCATTTTAGTTAAGACCCGAAAGGGAGCAAGTGTTTATAAGTGTCAAAAGACTGGCTGTACTGAATAAAGTGCCTCTTTATAACTAGTAATGTTATGATGTAGCAGAATACTTAAATGTATAATGTAATTCTCAATTTAAAAAGTACAAAGGGTAATTATGCCAATTTCTCAGCTAAGTTTTGGCAAATCCCCTTTTCGCATAATTTGTAATCAATCATTGATCAATGATGTATTTTTTAACTCATCTTCCTGCTTCCCATCAATTTTGCGCAGTAAAATGATATTGACAAAGCCCAATCTCATTTTCAACTTCAAAACAGGCCGAATCCTTGGTCCCATTTTAAAATATTAATAAAAAAAAATAAGAAATGCTATCTTTAAATGTTGCATTATAGTGCCTTCGACGTTCTTAATAGTTTGTTTTTTCAATTTTTTTTCAAAACCTATACTGATCTTTTTCCTCCGCTGTTGATCTAACATTCTAACATTACGCCTACGCGGTTATGAGCTATAAAACTACAGTCTTTCCTTGCAACCTATTTTATACTTTATTTATGAAAAACTAACCTTTAATGTTTGAAAATGTGCCAGTTTTATATCTTTCTCCTCGATGTGGATTTGGCGAAAAGATTTCTTGGCTTTGACAAGTAGCGATACCATAAATAAGAAGTACCACAGCACATACTGTTGCCATGCTGCGAATGGACTCAGATCATGTTTCTTGAATTAATCGTACTATTTTATGTTGCTGGCATCAATTGTTCCTTATTTAGTCAATAAGCTTAATTGAACATAATTTTAAGAATTTCGTCGTTAATTGAACATGTTTTTTTTCTGGTGTACCAGCTGTTTTGCTTTGTAGAAATTACTGGGGCTGTTGTATGCTTTCTTAGAACCTTACTGGGAGTATAGTCCGATAGCCAAATGCTATTTTTTTTAGGAAAGCATAAAGTGGCGTCCATACAATGTTTTTTGGTTGATTATTATCCACTGGTAGTAGTTTAATTTGCTTGAGCTGCGATTTTAGGCTCTTGTGCATTTTCTACCATTGATAACTGGAATARTATCATTTTCGCGTTTACAATGACATTAATTTAAATTATTATGTGTGCACTTGGTAATCACTACAAGTAAGAAATCCTAACAACTTCCAATATGTCTAAAAACAACTAAGGCCAAAATAAAAAACAGAAACAGTGATTATGTCTGACTGTAAAACACAGAAAAAAATACTGATCAAAACCTCCACACTACGATTCAACGTCTTTTTGAAATAGCTGTGTGACGTCACCGCATTCACGACCGGTATTGTAGCAAGGCAACAATCTATAAAAGATTCGAATTATATTACCCAGAATTCTCCGCATTTTTTTACCGCCGTCCATCACAGTGAAAGTTAAAATTGAAAAAGTCTTTAACAATTTGTCATAAAATATATTAGCGCAATTTGTGTATATTGCATGCATATTGGGGGCAATTCTCAAGAGTGTTTATTGAACTATGTATACCTGAAAATCAGTACCATATTATTTGTATATAATCTATTCCATAAACCTCTGAAATTTTGAATATCTCTCACTAAACTGATATGTTCACGTACAAAAGGTATTGACCATAAAACTAAGTCTAAGCCAATCAGCGAATTTCCCGTTGGTCGATAAAATGTTAATATAGATGACTTCTAAGTTGTGCGCAGGTGAAATTAAAAATGCAATTGAAGATTTGGACGAAATTAGCTGCGGCGCTCTGGCACTTAATAAGCGGTCTGTTTCAGTTCGTCTTTTTTRAATATTGCAATCTATTTTAAGTATTACCAAGAAGTTTTCCATTAAGTACGAAAAAAGGAGAMATTTATCGTTAGTAAGTTAGAAGGGCAAAAAGAAAAAAAATAATAATAACCACAGACCGGCCTAGTAATGTAAGTGCAGCGAAACAAGATTTATCCGTCATTTCCAATGAGAGAAACTAAGAACTTTAGCATGAAGATAACATTTGATATTTGGCTGGCTTCGTATTTTATCGTTGCTTGGAACATCCAYGCAGTCTTTTCAAACTTAGAACGAGGAGAGAGGTATAATACGGGGACATTCGCAAGCATCGAAGGTGAGTTTGTTTTCCCGGCTGCAGTTTTATAAAAAAAGGATAAAAAAAGTACATCACTTTGGCATGTAGCAGTTGAAATTACTTATGAGTATGAGTACTTCTAGCTTTTTTCTTTTCTAAGGACTTCTAATTTTAATAATTTAACAATTCTATCGTTTCTTATCATTAGGTAAACTAGCTTAATTCAATTTAACAAATGAGAGACGTGGTTTTAAAAAGAAATTTTTCAATGTTGTATACAGTGTATTCGGATTCCCTGCTTTTTGAATTGGACATCGGATTTCAGACGCGTATATTAGTTTTCCCTACTTCCTGGGGGATATACTCTATCTATTTGAACGACTATTCTCAATCATGACACTTGAAATGTTGAACGTTACGTCTAAGTCTTCAAAACGGGATAATTTTAGATAATCTAGTCCAGCTGCAGCGCTGAGGGAATTCTTCTTTCTTTCTTTCAAGTTTCAGACGGAAAATTTCTAAGTTGAACGTAGTAGTTAATTAGGTATTCAAGGGCAATATACATTAGTATTCAAGGGCAATATATAGATATTTCCCTCAAATGGGGGCAATATATAGATATTGCCCTGAAACTTCGATATAAAGCACTTGAATACACAWTGAGCTGTGRAATAAGCGAGATACAACACTATGAATAACAAAGAAAACTGAATCAAGTATGAAATAATAGTGAAAAGAAGCGTCTTTGTTTTCGTATTCTTATTTTCTAAAAGCAGGGACTTGAATTTCCATATACTGAGTATATTCTGCGCTAAGTGAGAGTCACTTGAAATTGAAGTTTTATAGAGGTTATTCCATAGTTGGCAATTGGCAGGAAGATTGATCCATCTCTCAAAACACTGGGTGATGTTTTTTAAACAAAATATATTAAATATCTAACGGTTGGTTGGAATAAACTTATTGTTTAATTTTACCTATGAGGTATAGGCTTTATATAATGATAACGTTAATTGCACTTGTAATGATCCAATGTAGACGTTCGAGGTATAATGTAAAGGCCCGTTTGCAGTTAAGATTTTTGCAGAGCAATTTTCGCGGCGACCATCGCCTGAGTTTCGAACATGCTTAAAAATTGGCTGCAACTTCGCGGCGATTTTCCATCGCCGCAACAATTGCAGGGCTGTTTACAAGTACGATTTCAGTTGCGCGATAACAAAGGGGCGATTATCACGCGATAATCGCACTTCAAAAAACCCTAGTGGACTTACACTGGAGATTTTTGCTACAATTTTTCAGGAGATTATTTAAAAATATAATAAATTTTGTCTTATCTTTCTGAGGAGAAGTTTACTAGCTCAACTCAGTGAACTGAATAAAAGTTTACAAGTTAATTCTTTTAGCATTATTCTATAGGATTAAAATAACCGCAAAAATCGCCAGTGTGCAGACGCCTTTAGGCTGGCAACAATTCAAACAAGTATATGGTCTCGTGCGATACCTTTTATTCTATATACTCCAATTAAGAACAAGTATATGGTCTCGTGCGATACCTTTTATTCTATATACTCCAATTAAGGCCCTATAGATGTGCCACACGGCGCGCGGAGGAGGACAGAACGGTAACAGGTAACTATATACTCCAATTGGCTGGTGACCACATTTCAGCGATGAATTTAAACAGCTTTTCAGCTCTATGAGAAACAATATTTTGTATAATAATCATTGCAGAACTGGGATGTGCAAAGCTGAATTCGTGTTACCATGGCGACTTATGTCCCCCATAACTATATCTGTATCAGACAACAGAGGCACGCAGCGCAAGTTTCAATATCTCCAAAAATAAAATTTCAACAATTAGGCTTTCAACTTCTATACATTGATATATTATATATAGTTTAGATTGTMCTTTAGGAAAACACAATGATTTACGGATTTGTGTGCATGTGATCCTCCTCCTGAGGGTTACTAAGTGTTTACCGAGGAAATCAAGGGTTCCGTGGAAGTATAGGTGGAAAATCCCGCAACTGAGCTGCGCGCTGTAAAACTATGCTGGTGATGCGACATATAGTTTTAAAAAATCCCATTAAATTGGAAGTTTACTAAATCCAAGTTAACTTAACGTGATCAAGTGAATGTGAATCAATAATTAATTTAAGGAATATTCTGCATTTTGAGATTGTCATGAAATTTTTTTATTTTATTTCCGTATTTATTATCATTGTCATAAAAACAATATTTGCTAGATTTATCCCAAGAGCGAAAAGTTCATCCAGATGGATTATGTCATTGTTTTTATGCAATCTATTGTTATTGAACTCAAAGACGTCGACAGGTGCACACAAACGGCGCAATCGGCGCAAACAAATCTTCCTTTGATAAGCTTTTATCTAACGCCGTTAAATATAGTTTCCTCTCGCAGCCGTTAGGACGTTCGTTCCCGGTTCACTCCCCCTAGGGAGACCTAGAGGTAGTGACCTGGGAACGAACGTCCTAACGGCTGCGAGAAGAGACTGCGTGAAATACGCCAGTGGTAAAACATTCCATTTGATTTGTATAAATGATTTTTACACACGGATTGCATTATTGTTTAGTGTATTTTTTGGGGAAATCTGACCTCAATCCTGATYAAACTATGGTTATCTTGCTACAAAAAAAATTGATTTGATATTATCTTTTTGTATATCTTTTAATTCTCAAAATTGAGTACCGAAAGTTATGAAATAGCATATTTCTTTACTTCAAGGTACATCAGCGAAACACATCATCAAGAATACTACTGCAATCGATTCCTTTACATGTCTTTCTGACTGTCTGTCACACCCCACCTGTCAATCAGTCAACTTTCAAAAGAAGGGGAGTCCCAAGCACCTTTGCGAGCTGAGTGAAAGTGTAATCGTCTCCGGTTCACAATGCCAGAGACCAAGGCCAGGCTACATCTTCTTTTATACGACCAAGGTAAAACATAGTTTCTAGAGGGAAATGGTTAGGAAGCCTTTTTTGCAGCTTTTTGTGCACTTTTTTCCAAGAGTGACAGTGCACAAACATTTGTTTGTTTAACTATTGTTTTAGCCATAATCTCATARARGGTTTTTATGTCCACTCATTTTGCAATTTTCATCCTCCGTAAGAAAAAAGTTGTGCACRGTCAKGAMTGATTYAACCTCAAAATACATACAAAAGAAGTACAACAAAAGGTTTCCAAACCATTGCCCTCTATTAACTATGATTTAACTTATGCATTAGGACCAGACTCGTATCCAGTCGTTTCTCTTACTCGTTGTACGGGTTGCGGTGCATCAAGGGAAGTCCGAACYAACTTCCCTTGATCCTTTGCGCGCGCCATAGAAGTGAATAGTAACGACTGGGTACRARTCKGCATTAGTACAGCATTTCCTGTGTTTCATCTTTTGTTATTCCTTGGTTATTGAAAACTTATGTAACGTTAATGCATAAACTCTATCTAAGAAGCTGTACTGTTTTTCATGATAAGATACCCCAGATAAACTGCTCTGTGGCTCTGACATGCAAGAATGGTGGAACATGCATTGACAGCTGCAGTGGCCATGTTTGTAAATGTCAACGGTTTAACACAGGAGATTTCTGTGAGAAGTGGACTACAGGTTTGTTCGACTTAATTAACATTCGTTTAGAGTGCCTATGACGCCTGACAAAAMAATTTCTGATTCTCTGAGCTGATTCTATATAAAATTAATAATTGAATGGTGAAATATTCCTGCATTTCAGTGTTGCGTCTTTAAGTTATGAAGGTTCAATCTTACAATATGTTAATRAAAATGACGTAAAAGAAGGGTTCATTAGATGTACGAACTATAAAGGAGTAGCTTAAAAATGGTTTCATGTCATTAAATTTATCGATTGCAATGTAGGGAATAACCATATTCCCAGATGGCGTTTATGAAAACATTTTTGAGAGACTGTCTTAAAGTACGTATATCTAATGAAGCCTCCCTTGACGTCATTATCATTAGCATATTGGAAGATTAAACCTTCTTACCTCTTAACTCAACACTGAAATGCAGAAATATTTCATCATTCAATTATTTACTTTATATGGAATCAGCTCACAGAGAATCAGAAAATATTTTGTCAGGCGTCATAGGCACTTTAATTTTCTATAAAGTGTACCTATCTATGGAATGATGCTTCAATCATTTTTGATATTCAAGGATAGACATTAGATTGGCAATCCTGTTATTACACTGGTTACAGGTTGTATAAATTTGTTGTAAATACGATGAACGAAATTCACATCAAATTTACATCATTTTGGACACTTACATCATATTTACATCAAATATATTTACAACCTTTAAAGTGCGCGATTTTTTCCAGTCCTGAGAGACATGAGACAACTACAAAAAAACAATCCGTACTTTTTATCACTCATTAATTCAAATCTTCATTAATTCAAATCTAATTCATTCATTTTTCTCCAACACTGGTGACTGATTTTTGTTATTCAATCCTAGCAGTGTTCGTTCATTAATATATTTATGTATTATTATGTATTATTTATTCATTATTTATTTATTATGTATTTATTATTTATACTTATTAATATTATCCATTTATTCATTCAATTCCATAGTCTCTATTCTTTCATGACGATTCGTTGACAAAATGTTTTACGTTATTAATCAATATTTTCCCTCGCTTTCTATTTTCATTATTTCTGTCTTATTTTAATTCCCAGGTGTTTTCTCTTGCAAAGATGTATTCACCAAGACAAGGTATATCCACCGAAAACTCTTTATGAAATAGCATACTCCATATTACAAGCCCGCCATTTTGAGTCGGTTTGCAATGTGGTATGGGGGTCGTAATAAGGACTATGTTAAATGTAAAGTTGCATATATATCATTGTGTTTTGTTATTTCTTTATCTATAGTTATCGCGAAAACATGGCTTATACCTTCAATATTGGCTACCTACAGACAACAATCTACTGCCACTTGACTAATGACATCTGTGGAGGTGGGGGCTGGACGCTGGGCATGAAGATCGATGGCTCCCAGGTAATCT